TGAAACTTCTATTTCAAGCCACAACGGGAGTAAGAACATTTTCGCAGTACTTCCAGGTAGTAATGAAACGAATCATGAATTAAATTAAAGATATTAAAGAATATAGTAAAAATTAAAACTTAGAAAGTGTAAGTTTGTGAATCAAAGACATGAAAAGTTTAATACTCAAAGTAGCTAATCGCAAATATGTAGTAAGAATGATTGACGTACTGCTTAATGTATCGTAATGATCGGTTGTTTTAATGAGAGAATGCCGACCTTGACGTTTAGTGCAGGAAATAAGTATTTTTTAACTATTGATTACTGTAAAATTTAATCTCCGTTTTGGTACGGGTGGTACGGAGGGTTAGTAGGGATTGTGGTGTATAAAAAAAAAGATGTGTGGTGTCGTGGGACACCGGATAGGAACGAAGTTCCTTATTATAAAAATGTTAATTTTAAGTTCTATTCGAGGTATAAAGAAAATAATTATTCGGGTATAAGTACACTTTTTATTGTGATTTTTTTATTGATCAAAATAAAAAAAATACTACTTTACAAAGTTATCAACTTTATTTTATTCACAATGATTTATTAAAAATATAATAATAATAATATACAAAGAAACACCTATTTATATGAATAACAATAATAACCGTCAGCACGTAGACTATACATTAGACGTATAGCCATTATACTAAGACTATACATAAATAATAAAAATCTTACGTTACGGACGCTTTTTTTCCGGTTAGGGTACCCCTCCGCATCGTCCCATAAGGAACTTCGTTCCAAAAAACATCGTTTTTGTAGTGAGAATGACGAAGAGGAGAACTTTCATCGAGCGGGTTTCGTTGCTCGGAATACCAATGTAGCGAATGTCGTTCGGAACTTGTATATATGTAAAATTAGAAGTTTACAAGTTCTGCGTAAGGAGTCGAATTGATTGAATTGTATGTATTGAATGTACGAATGAATTGGTTGTATTGTATTGTGTTGTCTAAGAACTTCGACCATCCTTTGCCCTAAGTGGGCTGACTGCTTAGTATAATAGGCACAGCAACACAACAATTTTTTTATGTAACTTTTTACAAAACAAATTAAACTCGAGCTCGTTAATTAAAGTACTTCTCTTTGTTTCAGGTCAAGGTACGCTGTATTTTTTGCATTTAAATGTAGAAAGTACTAGCCTACATTTAAGTATATACCGTTGTTCGTCTACTTGAACAATACAAGGACAAAATGTTACCGATGTTCGCTTTCTTTAAAACTCTCGGTTGAACATTGAGGTTGAATGAGGTAAGTGGTATTATTATTATTATTTCATAAGGATGAAGAAGGAGTAATGTAAAATTGTCTTATTTTTTCGATTGAAATGTACACGAAGAAACCGTGCACAAAATTGCTTGAAGAAAACTTACCATTGTTTGGTTGATATTATATTTGTAGCCAGGCAAGAACAACCGCCAATTAAATAGGTCATTTAGTTAGCCTCTTCTCTGATGGTGCGGTGGAAAGTCTACGTTTTGTGGCACAAGTCTGCAATACGCTATTTATTGGACTTAAGTGTACGTGTAATAAAGTGGTCGCCAAATGTCTATACCGCAAATCAAAGATTGTGTTGTGATTTATGTTCTTGTGGTTTAGTTTTATCGCTGGGCTTACTTTTAATATTCTGCCTCAAAATGAATATTATAGCGTGTGAAGCGCCACCTTTAGGTTCTTAGAATACCATGGAGGGCAAGAGAAACATGTTTCATTCGTGTTAGAGCTGAGTTAGGCTGGTTTGAAAAGAGCTCGTATTATATAAGTCAAATGGGCTTTTTGTTGGGTCGGAAGAATCGGTGCCGGTCCAGTGACATTGTTGCTATCTTAGGACGGATGGATGAATTTGAGAGCTTAGCTGCCGGGAGGGGAAATTCAGGGATCGTGGCTATAGTGGAGTGGCTTCATAAGTGTGCATTGTTAATATCTCTATCGGCCTTTAAGGTTAAATAGATAGTTTGTCTCTCGGTTAAGACTAAATAAAAAAATATAGTAGGTGCCATACTTGTTGAGACTTGTGTATATCTCTCATCTCTTAATACAGCTCTTAAACACATATGCCCAAAGATACCAGTAAACTATATAACCGCGTACGCATGATTGATTAAGTTTTCAGTTTTTGAGTGATTCTAGATGTAGAAATGTCTTTACTCCGATGCAATTGAGTTGCACTTTAGCTTTTGATGGCCAGTAATAGTATTTTTTTTGTGTGCATCTAAAAAGAGAATTACTTTCAGCAAAAAATACTTTCACAGCTTCAATGCGACATGTGACTCGACCATGAGAGATATCTACAACTCGAGAGAATTCCTATCGTTATCTTGATTGAAAGTCTTCATAATCAGTAACGTTAAACAACTATCTTTATTTGGATTTGGTGATGACAGCATCGTCATATTGTGAATATTTTACAATGATTTTATTTAGGAGGGAATCAGATGGATAATCTGATGATTCTGATTTTGAATCGGATAGTAGTCGAAAGTGTTAGGACGACATCTTTAGTTTCTGTGTATGTTTACTTATTGAAATATATAAAATTGAGGTCTCATTTATATTGTTTTTCTTCAAATCGGATCGCCTGACTGTTTTGACGCAGATATAGGCAATGTTAGTAGCAACAGTTGCAGGCTTTACAGCACGCCCTACCACTAGTACATGCCGGTTCGCGATCCCACACTTCACTGATATTAAATGCTCAGAGAAGCGTGCTATCCATTCTCCAGTGAATCGAGTCGCCTCACACGATACCCACGGGAATAGGGTGTTGCGATCCTATACCGACACTAAACAATGGACTAAACACTTTTAATTGTTTATTGTATTTACAAAACCAGGTCGAATTGGAACAATGTGTACCGCGAAATTGCTCATTCACCGGCACTTGAGCATCAAAACAGCGTAACCACCAAACGTTTCTTAATGCGTACGTAATTTAACTTGTGACCGATTTTCTCAAATTATTTTAAGTATGTGGTTTACTTGTGCGTTCGGATATTGTTTGTTTAATATAAATACGACGATTGGTAATAACAGTAACGGTAGGCAGTGGTTTGGCTCAGCCCCTGGCTTTGATGAGGTCCATGGGCGACGGTAACCACTCACCATCAGGTGGGCCTTATGCTCGTTTGCCTATAAGGGCAATAAAAAAGAACATACTGTTTGGTTTTCTATTTTCTCAAATTTTTTATGTGTTGCTTTTTCAGGAACAAAGTTGAGAATTTCGGTGTGGTATGTTGTTAAGTAGTTAAATATGCATACTCGATCCTGTAGACAGAATGGCAAACAATCGACGTCGCCCTAAACACGTCATTACGGATCCTCCTGATCCATTAACGGTGCTTTTAGGTACCACAAGCACCGGTCACCGTCCTCGTCGAACCCGTCGCTTGCGACGAAGGGCTCGACGAGCGAATCAACCCATAGGTACAGCCCACTGAGTTTCTCGCCAGATCTTCTCAGCGGTTCGCGTTTCCGATCCGGTGGTAGATTTTGCGAAGCACTGCTCTTGCTAGGGCAGTGTTAGCAACACTCCGGTTTGAGCCCCGTACGCTCATCTACACGTTAGGGCAAAGCTGATATAGCCTCTCAAGGCTATCAGTATAGGTAGGAAAGTTAAGTGTTTCCATCGTATTACGAGTATATATAATTTGAGAGTTTTTTTTTTTAAACATTTCTAGCGTATTTCTAGAGCATATTTTTCTGATAATGATGACCGTGGCTCGAATTTGAACGTCTTCGTATTATAGTAATGAATTATATTAATAGAGTGTTTAATTATCAACAGAGAACATTTTGTCTTCTCGTATTAAAACTGTATAATCTCAAAACTTACTAATTTTACAGGAGAGTGTTTTAAAGGTTTAACATGTAATAATATTAATATTAATCATATTTGCAACATTTTTTTTTCTTACCAGTTACATTAATCTTTCTTTTAAAGTAAGATAAAATTATGTATTAATTAGGTAAACTAAAAAAAAAAACTATAACTAAACTACGCTCTTTTGACAGTATTTATGAAAAAAAATACGGGTGATACCAAATGTTTACGCATATTAACTCAATTTTGAATATTTTTGGAAATTGTACACTTCTAATTCGAAAAGGCGAATTTTGTCCACAATCGGATTAACCTCATGGTAATAAGTCCCTAAACGATTAGTTTAATACCCATTGTCCCATATAGCTGACGTTCAATAAAAACAAAAGACAATAAACAATTATTACTGTAGTTTGTTTTCTATTTTCTATAAACTATGCTGTGACATCGCTACCTACTTTGATTCAGATAGCTTAGGAGCTTGGAATGTCAACGATTATAATACCAATCAAAGTTTTTTCAGTTTTTAGTTTAAGCAGAACTAGTTTACTTCGACAAAGCTATTGAAATAAGCTGACAATACAATAAAATTAGTTACAAAGAAAAACAGTAAACAGAAAGAGAAAGAGTGAAACAAATAAATCAAGAGTGAGAGCTATCAAGAGGATTTTTTAAGAATATTCTCTGAGTTATGGGTACCAGAGACTGACATACATACTTAAATACTTTTAAATATATTATTAGACATATTAAACAGACAATGATCACCCAGTTTGTCTGGAGAGCAAACAAAACTGTACAAAAAAATTGAAAATTGGGTTGCAATAAACTAATCTAATATGTATAGTAATAGGTAGGAGATGATTTTCGCTATAGTTAGTGACTTTGAATTTGCGAGATCACTGTTTGAATAATTACCGAGGTATGCATATATATTTTATTGTTTCCATTTTCACCTAAAAGTTTATTAAAGAAACATATAAATGCTTCTTTTAAATAAAACTTTTCCCACCTTACAAATACTATAAAACCACCTCAGCTAACTCTTTGCCTACCATGCGATTTTAATCGTTCATGCGATCGGCTGCGAGTGCTGCGACCGCAACTGCAGTCAGTCAGTCACCTGTTTCGGTACACGACCGCAACACGCGTCGGACGCGATGCCTGGGTCGCTCAAACGTACGATTCCGACGAATTGACGATTTTGGGCTGAATACAACGAGGACGCAGTGCTTTAAAAAACAAAACAAAAATTTTGACAGTTAAAATTACGCGCGTTTTTTAATCTGTGGACAGTGCTTTAATGGTATTTGTGGGAAAAGTGTGCATAGTTTTTCGGACAAATACTTCGGTAAATACGTAGCAATATAAAGTTTTTTCTTAATTTCTTTTTGAGGCTCCTATAATATCTTTAGTAATCCTAAACGAACGCAATCGGCAAAAACATAAAAATGAAGAGCTCAGTTCAAATACAAACATTTAAAAAAAATCGGTTTAGCTTAATTGACGCACAATATTTTAATTAATTAAAATAAAAGTGGGTGTGTTTTTGAATAAAAATTTACATGCGGTTTCCGTGGTTTTAGTTCATTAACACAAACAAGTTGTTAAAAATATGAAATTCAGATTCTAGAATATCATAGAATGCGTTTTGAGGCTGCTTGATTATTTAGTAATTTGCATGATTATTTTTTAGCGACGTTTGATTTAATATTTACTTATTAATGTTCCACGATCATAAATTATTATCGGAATTGATTTTCAAGGATTAAATTGGTTGTTTTTTGAGTTCTAATCTTTTCAAGCGTTAAATATTGTGTAGTTGTTTGAACTTCTTTTTGTACTATAATTAATGTTTTATAAAATACCCTCATTTGCATGTAACAAACGTTAAAATTGGTTCATTATGTTACAGCCAGCAGCAAGTAAACGTTAATCGAACGAACGTATTTCTAGATTACAGTTTAAATGTTTTTGGTTCACAATTTATTTAACGTGAACAATAAGCGTAAAAGCGACCGGAGAAAAGTTGACGTGTTGGACAATTTTATTGGCAATCGATTTGAAATTGGTACGAATCAGCGGCTGTCACAATAATTCATCGAGTGTTTGAAATTTGAAATTGTAAATATTCGTTTTGTGTGTTGTAATTTTATTCTCCGGGCGGAAGACCTAAAGACAGAATTTTCGGGCAACTGCGAATGGATGGAACAAGAAAAACATTTGACATGGTACTAAATTATGATATGATTATTTGGTTTATTTTCGTATTAATGCGTTTTTTTTTCGTTGTTAATTTGAGATTTTATTGATTTTAGAATTTAGCATTATGTCAGTTGACATATATTTTAAACTAAAAGTTACTTCCATCGGCTCTTACAAAAGGCCAAGAACGTTCTTTAAGCTCGGGCGCATATCGTGCGTCTGCGTCGGTTCGGTATTTGTTACCGACAGCGTACATTCATTTTCTATTAGGTCTAGTCTTAAGTTTAATCTCTCTTTCAAATATTTTCTCCCTGTTCTATAGAACATTCTCATAATGGAGTGAGAGAGACATGCCGGACCGGTAAAATGTGAGTGCGGGCTAAGGAGATAACTAGAGACAAGAACAGATAAAGCGTTTTAAATACCAAATATAACTATGAAGTGCGATGTATATTCTCATTTTTTTTATTATAGACCAATGAACGTGGAACTCCCCTGGAGCTTAGCGGTCATCGGTGACCATCCACTTTAAGATATAAGATTGAAGTATCACTTGTATAGTCCAACAACTGCTTTGCAGAACAAATAAGATTGTGGTACACCACGGAAAGTAGTACACGAAAAACCTTCTCTGAAGTGTTGATAATAGCTGACTAAAATATGAACAAACAAACATTTGAATATTTTTATATAATTTATAAAAAGTTTTTACAAAAAAATCTGTTGTAATAGTTAGTATTAAACTACCCTCTAGTTTTAATTACGCGTCGTCTGTACAGAAAATATAAACAAATCCGAGGATAACGTCGTCATTTAGATGATCAGTCATTTAATTCTTCTAGAAACATCTCTTACTGTTAGTACGGGGTCGTTGTACTGCACGTCGTTGATAACGCTTTCGGTTTCATTCGTCGACACGCTACAAAAGTAACTTTATTGCGATGGCTTGCGATGTTCTTGGATATTGTACATTATATATTATTTCTCGACATATTAAGGCATTACATCAAGGCTTGGTTTGTTGCTTGGATGCAACAGGATTTTCCACTTTGGAATTTTTGTTTAGATTTTATAAATATAATTTTTCAATTAATTTTTTCGATTTTCGCGACACGTATATGCACTTGCAGCAATTTTACTGGTATTGGAAATTTCGGAAAAAATAAGACAATAATAACGAAAGGGAGATTAAATTGCGAAATATTTTAAATTATATTATACATTTTTCATGTTTACTTTCCATTAAGTATTAGTGGTTAGTTTTTATTATTGGTGTTTAAATTGGGTGTTTAATTCCGAAATTAAATAGATTTACATAATTTAGTGCACTGGTAAACAGCCACTTCGTATTTGTTCAGCTGCACGTATAGCCGTGACACGGACAAGATCACGACTGACTCTGTGTTCTTTTGTTATTATTAAAACTTGTAGACACCATAGCGAAAATACCGCCAGGTAACTGGAGACATGATCCGTAATATCTAATTATGTCTATATCTCTAATATCTTATTGCCTCGTCTATCATATCGAGGGGTGAAAAGCTGTTTGGTTTAAGCGAAAATTTTTCAACATTACATGAGAGCCATTTAACGTTTAAAATTTGGAAAAAAAAATCAGAACAAAAAACTTCTATTTGAATGGGGTACATATAATTAAAGTTCAATTAAAAACATCGAATCGTGCATGCTAATACCAAATAAAACGGATCTTTATTTACAGATATAAATGTCGAGCGAAATGTAAATAAATAGCCTTTCACCTCGATATTAAGGCTTATCCGTATAACTAAAACGCATGAACGTTTCACAGTGTGCAGAAACAGAATGGCAATACGCATCCGCGTCTTCCCATTAGTGATATTGCACGATACACAAATTTAATCTATGTCAAAACGCTCTCCCTTTTGCCTTTTCATGAGTTCTGTCTCATGCGAGGTTCGGACGTGGGTTAGCGACAGGAGGTTTTAGTCGGGTCGACTCCGAAATGCCCCGCCCGCCATCCCCAGTGTAGGGCGGGAGTCTGGCGATTTCCTCTAGACCAAAAAAAGAGTATGTCAAAACGTTACTTTTTTGCCCTTGTAGGCAGACGAGCATACGGCCCATCTGATGGTGAGTGGTTACCGTCGCCCAAGGACTTCAGCAATACCAGGGGCAGAGCCAAGCCGCTGCCTACTGCTTAATACTCTCATATTTACTTATTTACATATTTCGCGAACTTAAAAGGGTTGTACTGAAAATTTCTTTTTTCAGTACAATGCTTTTAACTCACACAAATAAATAATCCAACATATTATCAAGGTTAGAAACGAATGAACATGCTTAAACGATCCCGTTCACCAGAACCTTTACAATCAGCCATTTCAATTGCAACATACTGGCTGCAACGTATAACTCACCTATTCGCTCACAAGAGAACAATTTAATATTAAAATAGTCGACATTACAATAGTTCCGTCAAGTTAAGCTATCCCACATACCCCACCTGCCGCGCGGGTGGGGTTCCGGCGATTTTCTCCTGTGGAAAAAAAAACATTACGCTGTATTTGAAGGGTGTAAGAGTATATTATTTTTTAATTAACTCAGTTGTATGTTTCTATGTATATGTTTTTGATAGTTACAATGAGTTTATGTTTTTGATAGTTACAATGAGTTTATGTTTTTGATGTGCTACGAATTGATTAATTTAAATAGAACAGAGAGAATAGAGAGAATAGAGAATAGAGAATAACAGAGAGAACAGCTTTAGGTAGATGGGCCGCTTAAAAGTTTATAAAGTTTACATTTTAAAGTTTGGCTACCCAAGTTAGAGGCTAGCTAATGGTAACATCAGAAGTAAACAGCGGAGCAAAGTGTAAAAAACGTTAGCTCGCTCACAATTATTGAAGTCAATTTCACAACTAAGTCGAGCACTCAATGTAAATTATTCAGAGAGCTACGAAAACACGGGACTTCACTTGTTCGCCTTTGGTAACCCCAAGTTCCCGTTTCATAATTAACACCACCTGTTGTTTGTCTTCTGTCTGTACTGGTAACGGAAATTGGCACTTTGCAACCCATTGAGACGATGTTACTTGTGAAATGCTTTACGGTCGTTGGGTATTGTCGGTCTAAAACTCTAAGCAGTTGGAAGCCGTTTGGGTTTTTTTAATTTATTGCTTAGATGGATGGACGAGCTCATAGCCCACCTGGTGTAAGTGGCTACTGGAGTCCATAGATATCTACAACGTAAATGCGCCACCCACCTTGATGTATAAGTTCTAAGTTCTAAGGTATAGTTATAACGGCTGTCCCACCCTTCAAACCGAAACGCATAACTGCTTCACGGCAGAAATAGGTAGCGTGGTGGTACCTACCCGTGCGAACTCAAAAGAGGTCCTACCACCAGTAAAATTACATTGGTATTGCAGATCCTCATGAGTATATTTTAAAAAATCTTCAACTTTATCTGTATAATATCGTTCTATATTCAAATGCCTGATTTCAATTAGCCATTGCTTCTAAACAATTATAAATAACTAGGAGGAAAGGCGATTAATTGGTAATTCCTTATAAATAAAATATTAAATATAATAGGGGTATGTTGTGAAAATATCTAGCGCAATGTAAGTTTTCGATAATAATTCGCGGTTTAACAATGAAACAAATCGTTTGAAATCAAATCGTAACTGATGAAATTTATTTGCGAAAACCTTAACTTTGATTTGTAATGTCTGTTCTAGATTTTTTTTGTTGCCTTTAGCAATGAATTACAAAGAAAATGTTATGTATGTATAGCATCTGTATAGCTACGTGTATGTAAAATTTGTCTTCAAACTTTTGTTACAATAATGTTAAAGTCACTTTAATTCGCATTTAAAATTATATTTTATGCACACACAAATAAAATGACTAGATAGAAAATAACAAGTCTTTTTCTCTTTTCTATCAACATGTTTCCACATTTCAAATTGCTATATTTATATTAGCTTAACCTCAGCATTTACTTTGTTGATGAATTTAACATAATCTTCGCCGCATAACATAATGATATGCAAAATAATTACCAAACAAAACTGGAAAGCTTAAAAGAACGGTGTTAAATTTAACAAAGAGATAGTCATGGTGAACAGTGAAAGTGAACAGCGGGTTGGATGATCTAGTAATGGC